GCAGTGGGTGTGGTTTGGGCTTTGCTTCTGTAAAGACTGACAGCCTTGTTAACTCTCTGGGGCAGTTCCACTCTGTCCTCCAGGGGCGCTGTCAGTCAGAATTGACTCGATGGTAGTAGGTTTGGCTTTGGTTTAGCAGATACAAAATTTATTTACTTAGAAACTTTATAAAAACAGAGACTCTTGGGAGGTATGTGGTAGTGTTGTCAGCTCTTGACTCATGGTGACCCCATGTACAATGGGATCAGACTTGGTGATCTGTAACCTAGTCTAACCAGCTAACCGACCTTTCCTCCTCATCCATCTTAGTCTCGAAGCTCTGCTGAGACCCGTTCAGTGTCCCAGCAATATGCGAGCTCCCGCTGATGGACGGGTGGTGGCTGTGCTCGAGGGTTGTATATATCCGTGTATAAATGAGAAGGTTTCAAAGCACTGTGGCTGGTTGAAGGAAGCAATGTACCAGACACGTCCTTGACCCAGTCTGGTGTAAGGGCAGTTAAGAACATGGGGCTTTAAAAACCCACTGCCATCAAGCCCATTCTGACTCACAGTGCCCTGTAGGACAGAGCAGAAATGCCCCTTAGGGTTTCCAAGGCTGTCATCTTAGAGAAGCAGGCTGCCTCGTCTTCTTCCTGGGCACCTGCAGCTGGGTTCCAACCACTGACCTTTTGGTGAGCAGCCAAATGCATTAACCACCACACCAGGAGGTACATGTGGGTTGGAATTCTGGCTCTGTCCTGTGCAAGGTGTTGATTTGGGGCAAGGCATTTGACCACTCAACCCCTCAGTGGTCGTGTCTATACACTAGAATAGAAACAGCAGCAATCCTTAAGTGAAAAGGTACCCTCGTGGCATCGTGAATAAGCACTTCTCTGCTAACTGAAGGGATGGAGGTTTGAACCCACCCAGTGGTTCCGCAGGGGAAAAGACCACACGATCTGTTCCCGTAAGATTGTTGTTGTTGTTATGTGCCGTCAAGTTGGATCCAACTCATAGTGATCCCTCCTTGGGTTTCTGAGGCAGTATCAGTATGGAAGTAGATTGCCCAACCTTTCTTCCAAGGAGTGGCTGGTGGTTTTGAACCGCCAGCCTTCTGGTTCGCAGTCAAGTGCCTTAGGCACTATGCTACCAGAGCTCCTCCATAAAGATTACAAACCTAGGAAACCATATGGGGCAGTCATACAGGGTTGTTATAGGTGTAAACTGACTTAACCATACCCAACATCAACAACAATAATTCTGATGTTTTTGTGAGAACTAAAGGAGGTAATGTGTGAAAAGCGCTTAGCAGAGTCTGGACACATGAATGGTAATTATTATTATTGCTGTCATAATCAGAAATGGGAAGGAGGTTTATCAAAGTATAGCCTGTCTTAGAGATCTGTTTACCAGCTGCCCGAATGGAGTCCTGAGAAAGGTAGTGGGAGGTATGGGAAGGCAAGGAACTGTAATGAGCTTGCAGATACCTGGAAAGCCCTGTGACAGTGAGGATCTCATAAAACAAGGCCACTTTGTTCAAAGAAAATGGCACTGGCCTTTTGCTACAGGAGTATGTGACGTCAAGGCCAGTCCTCCCCCTCCCCACTCATGCACTGGCCACCGGGGCCTACCATGAATGAGCGGGAGAGAGGGACCTGGCATGACTATGCCTCATTACAGACTGGCTGCCCCCAACTCAAGAGGCCAGGGTCCGACAGGGCGCCATTTGTCCCCCACTGTTGAGATCAAACAAGGTTCCATTAGTCAGAATGCTTGGCATGTTGGTCATTGTCAATGGACTGCATCACTGTTTCAGATCATTCTCCACCATAAATGAGTAAATCCTCCTTCACTACGTGTGTGCTGAACGGATGATGAACAGTGGCCCCTAACCACAATGACTCTTCACACTCTTCACTCCTGGACCAACACGCCATCTTGCAGAGAACCAAGAATTATTATTTCTCTACCATTCTCAAAACACATGACTTATTTCTAATATGTGAAGAGTCACATTACTTAATTAAAAACCCAATAACACATCAAGAAATATTTGCTGCCACCATGTGTAATACAAAAGCACATAAAATAACAATGTGGCGTTGGGTGCTGTTGAGTTTGACTCCTAGAGACCCCATGTGACAAAATGGAACTGCCCCACAGGTTTCCTAGGCTGTCAGTTTTCACAGAAGCAAAGCCCAAACCACACCCACTGCCCTGGAGTCGATTCTGACCCACAGCGCCCCTAGAGGACAGAGTGGAACTGC